ATTTATTGGCCAAAAGAAAAATACAATTTCAATAAGTAATCATTGATTATATACATAATTTGGTAAGATGGCCCATCTCACCACTGAGGATAACCTCTTATCGGTGATGATGGAGTACATTACATACAATTGCATACTATATTATACATATACGTTGTATATTGTATACAGTTACTATTCCAATTTGAGTAACTTTTCAAATTTTGATATAAATTGCAAGGCACTGGAAGTTAATCAAAAATAATTAATCTAATTGTCCGACATCGCAATTACACGTATTATCTACACCAAAAGGAACGACGCAAATAGCATTTGAGATTTGATGAGCTTAAACCCTGAACTCTGAAGAATAATTGCTATAATTCAAGTCCCCAAATAAGTAGGCAATAATTATCTAAGGGGGTGAGGGGGAGGAAGTTATGCCACCAATAATAAGCCTTACATTGTGCATTTTTATGGCTTTAAAGTGCATATATATAATATATGTTATATATATATAGATATACCTAATATAGCTACTATATACATATATGTATTTGTATTATATTATCTTTGTAGAATTAAATACAATAATCAAGTATATTTTAGAAAAATGTACCTAAATAATTAAATAATATTTTATTAGTATACTTCATAAGTTTAAAACTAAAAACAAAATATTATAAATAATATAAATACAAAATTATATTTTACTTTTTACTATAAATTATTTTTTTTAAATCACAGCATATTAAATATTTAATAATTAAAAACATAAAATCACAGTTTAGTTTTAAATATTCAAATATAAATGTATCATTAAAAAAAAATTCCTAAATCATAAAAATACTAAACATATTTATACGTTCAATTATATTGCTTATGTATTATTAGACCTTGGAAAATTAATTTAACTGGAATAAAAATTAATCAGATATATATAGTATCTTGCAATTTGTGTTCCTATGTATCTCTTTTAAACACTCTTGTGATGATGGCAGTTTTGAATCTTGTTTTACTGCACCCATCAGCCACCAACGCGTTTGACCGACCATAACGGTAGCGTCATCTACATTTTACTACTACACTTTGAACTATTTAACATTGTAGGATAGACTGCGACGTTGCAACGGTTTTTGTTAAATTTTCAGATTTTATAATTCGTTGAAAACTAACCAAATATAGATTTACGCAGATATTAGGTAGGTTAGGACATTTCATTATACAACAAA